CGTGTCATAAAAATGAATTAGTTTTGGTTGTGAATCATTATATTGGATGCTTATTTCATGTGGTGTTCATGAAAGCTAAGCGATATTTCAGAAGATTAATGGCAATTTGTTTCATAGGACGTTAGAAAAAAGCTTCTTCTAGATCTCCAGTTTCTATCTCTCTCTCTCTCTAATAAGCCCCGCGTCTAGAAGCCAAATAGGAGCTTATTACAGCGGTTACAGTTGTTGGGCAAATTCATGACGGGGCTTAAAGAGTTTAAATGGTGGGAAGAGTGCAGCAATTTCGCTAAAGGATATACGAGGGTCTCAATTGGATCATGGCCTCTATGGCTAGCAGTTAAAATCCTTGCCATGTTGAAGCTGACGGTTAATTTAGTTCCGTTTAAGTTAAGAGTAAAATTTTTACGGTTAGCTTTTTTACGACTACCAGTTAAAAGTTGTACAGGTTTACTCTCAACAGGCTTAAATGTTTTGCCGTTTCACAGTTAGTAGTTAGCCCCATTAGACTCTTATATATGCTTCCCGTGCACACAACGGAACCCTTGATCTATGAAATCTCTTGCCAGCAATAAAAGTCACTGATTCCTTGCGCATCCTATGTAAAATTCAGTTTTTCAGGTTTCTGTTGCTGATACTTAATGAATCATTTCGTAATATTTAGCTCCGTAAGACTCCCACTAATATTACTAATACAGAATTAATGCGGATTGCAGGAAACCCCAAGAGAACGCAGACAGATAAGGAAGAAGTAGAAACTTGAAGTAAAGGAAAAACAAGAAAATATTCCAAATGTCCTTTCAACATGGTATCAAGATGGCATTATTATTGAAACAGTCCCAATCTCATACAGATCTATACAATATATTTCTGTTTTCAAAAGCAAGGGTTTTAAGTCCTATTTGAATATTTATTGAGCGAACACAAGACAGAAGTATTCAATGTGATCAAAAGGAATCTTTATGAACCAGCTGTAATTTTGCATGAGCGGGTTCAAAATATTATTCTGTACACTATTTGTTTTTGATAACCTGTCGAAGTCTAGTACTTGCCTACTCTCTCAGGCTTTCAAAATGGTCTTCTTTTTCAAAATGAACGACCAAGAAATATTCAAATACCACCGAAAATAAGATAAATTAAGAGAAATACAGCTCGCTTTGGGAAGAATATTAGTTTGGATGGATATTAACGATTGTTAAACCACTTTCTGTTTAAAGACGTGCTCTTTACCAAACAGCCCCTGCGTAGATAATGTACTGTTAAAATGTCTGCAACAGAGTCCCAAGATCTAATATACAAAGAAAATATTAAAAGACGTTACTATATTTCTCTATAAGATGTATCCTTACTAGTATGGTAGGAGTTTGCAATAAACTATAAACCAAAGTTGAACTTTAAAATAAATCTCAATTTCATGACTACGAGATCTTTCGATCACCGATGATTGATTAGTGATCGTATGGTCTTGCACAAATTGGAAATGTACAGAAAAGATCTTGACAAAAGCGTGACTAAATCTGTACATTCATTTTCCTCTCTTTTCAAAGGGCAGCTACTGTACCTCTAGGTCAAATGAAAATGTCTAAAAGGTTAGGAAGTGGGTAATAAGAAATTTCTTTAGCTGGGGTGCTTCATGTTTAATTTTGTTTATCTACATAACTAAAATGGTCCAAATATTGTGGTTTCCTAACGTGGGTTTAATACAGTATTTTAAATTAAATTTTGTTGTGTGCACTTTTACTGATGTGAGCCAAAGTAACGAAGGAATGATGTAATGTCGATGGTTTTTTGTGCGTTGATAGGATTCTTCTCGCTTTAAGTCTAGTACATCCAACTGCCCGATTACATTAATAATACTTTCGTGACTATTGGAAGTCGAATGAGTGCTAAAGAAGTACCTAAAAACCTCGTTCAATATATCAAATCATATCACCGGTTGTTCCTCTACTCGGAAAAAGAGCTAAGCTTTGTCAGAATACCGTGGTTTGATTGACACTCAAAAAAATGTCTACAAAACCGTTCTCATACAAGCAATAATCTTATGGGATCGTTCTTGAGCTAAGCTTTGGAGGATCTCTACGAGAGCCTTTTCAACCCTTTTATCACAGCTATTTGGTCATAGCCAAAATTTTTGGATTAAATAAATGTGGTCAGAGCAATCTTTCGAAGTGGCACTGTGAGAATTTCTGAAACGTGACCCCACGAACCTCAATGTTAATATTGTTTTGGAACTTAAATCTCGGTTGGAAACATTAGTTCAAATATTTCAAATGTTTTGTGGGGGTTTCTTGAGATTTCGGTGCTTTAACATGACAGAAGAAGCGAATTTGAGCTCCACAATCAGTCTCTCTCATTACACCAGATGCATAAAGCTTTCAACATCTCAGAATTAAATTATGCTGTAATTAAGGAAAGCGATCTTAAAGATCTAAAGGCAGTGCCAAGAATCTAGCTTGGGTGTGGCTAAGGGAGGAATTTGTTTAGGAGCAACAGCGCGGTTCCCGAAAGGAACGGAAACTTCCTGATTGTTGTACAACAACAGAAATTGCATCGGCAATCCGAAATCGAGAGCCTGCCTCTTATATTTCAATCATACAACGGCCGTCAACCACCTGCTTAAAACATCATTCTTAACTAAACAATCACTATACATTCTATTATAAGAATTCCTGCGACATGATCCTACGAATGAGGAAGTAATGACAACTTAGTTAAGTTCTTCCTACTCCCACACCATCTGAACAAAAGATTTTCATTGGAATAAACACGAGACAAACATGAATCGTGTTTAAAAAGTTTTACCTTACTTGTAACTGTAACTGTAAGGCGGCAAGTTGAACTTTTCTATCATCTTCATTGTCTCAGAAAGTTTTCAACAGCAATTTGTCTGTTCATCTAGTTTGGTCAGATCGAAAGAGTTATTTATGACCGACAAGCTTTAAAAAAATCCTCACCAAATCCTAACACTCTAGAAACAACGATAAGAGGTTTCTATCTCCAACTTACTACGCTTGTATATGCCTTTTGACAAACTTGTATGGCAAAGTCGCTCAAACTCTCAGTATCCGAGTAACTTATTGGTTGAATAGTCATCCTAAGTAGAGTAGTAAGCTATTAAAAAAACAGTTGACGGCTGTAATTTGAAAACATTGACCTTTGTATCAAATTCTACTTAATTCGATTCGTTTAAATCGGCCAATATTTTGAAACCATCTCAGCGTTGCAATTTCTGTAACAGCACTGAGGCCGGGTTCTCTCACTTTTGAAAAAAAATATTGGCGTTTTACGTCCCTACTAACGATGTAGAGATCTTGTGCACAATGTGATTCAGAATATTTCTATTGTTTAATACGATACATTCCAGAAAAAGTCATTTCAAGTGCAACTGCGGGGGTCACCAGATACCTTGCAGTGTAACGGAGATTGAAAAACAAATGAGCGGAATATCTTCGCTGTACACCTGTGCAAACAGTTTTCTCAGTTATCATATATCTGTTGTCTTGTAGTTTTTATTTAAAGCAGCCTATCATTGGCAGAAAGGTGCATTTTCTCATGCTAAGAAGCTAAACAGGTAAACCATGTTGGTCTCATTTCTGCTAGTTTCCCTACTGTTTGCTGTAAAAATCGTCTGCTATGAGTAGTTTCACGAATTTAAAGAGGACGAATCTTTCGCCGAGGCAAGTGTAAAGGCTTTTTGACTGTTGTGTGTTTTGTCGCTTTGAATGGTAAAATAGTTGGTATAGGCAGGAGGTCAGGAAAACCGGTAAAATTCAATATGAAACAAAGGTGCAGCAGTTTATGTCAGGAGCCTCCTGATC